CGTTTAATACTACCTCGTCGAAATATTATGCTGGATTTTCATCAAGCTACGATATAACTTCTCGTATTGGATATACCCTTTCAATAAAGATCATAGATCCTAGATATAACATTACCAATCAAACCGATTACATGGAGATGATTGCATATGATAAACGTAAGGCTTTTTTTATAAAATTAATAATGATAATGTCTTAATTACTTGTAGATTTAACAAAAAACAATAATTGGATAATAAATAAATATATTTTACATGATTTAGAATATGATTTAAATATAATGCCATTAAGTGGACAACAAATACAATTCGAAGAAACACTTACTCTGAAGAACACGTATTTTTTTGGGCAACCTAGAAATGACATAGCTGTATGTATATATGTATTAATCATTCTGAATAGTAATATTCTGTAGAGTAATGAATTCACAAATTTACACAATTTTTTTGTAAAAAAAAATTTTTAGCGCTATGATTGGGTATTTGATAGGTGCATTAGGCACGCATTGGTTCCAGATGTCTTAAGTTACTTTGGTAGACAAAAATATACTGATATACCTTATCTTGACTCACATATATGTAAGAATTAAAATCTTTTATATATTATTATCAAATTTATTACAATCTTCTGAAACACTATATTATTACTTATTAATAACCATAGCGACTGTTTCGACTGCGAATTCGGATCTTCGTAAGAATATTCTCATTAATGAATCATGGTTTATTACTGTACTTGCTTTTTAATTTTCTAAATTATTTATTGTTAAATAATAATTACAGAAACGAGCAATAATAATTTTGCAGTATTACATCCAAAATCTAAAGTCCTTTACTAACTCTCTATCAGGTTAGCGAATTATTGATAATTAAATCTTGATTGTTCATGGTGCTTAGCATTGTACACGGATCGAAACAATTCTCCTTCACGCGTCATGAAGTACTTTAGGAATCGGATAATATGTGTATAGGGGGACAAATAAGGAAATGGAATAACTATCGCTATATATAGACTATATATGGTAATAACGTAAGGCGAATATAAGTGTTACAGTTTAGGAAGGGATGAACGATAATTATGTGGGACGGTTATTAAGCGATTTACTTATTTGCACCGGTAACACAAACCAAAAAGGAAATCAAAATTTGTAAATTAAGTGCGTAAAAATAGAAGTTTAGGATTAGGACGTTAGGGTTATGAGCTTTGGCGATAAGTTGGAGTTTCTTGTATGTAAAATTTCATCCCCGTAATTTTTTATTAGTCCACAAAGGTCGATTTAAAAACTAGTTTTTGAGTATTTCGCTTTCTTTTCTTTTCTTCTTCTTTCGCACGTGTTCGGATTCTATATCAGCTGATCTGGAATACCCAAAATTTGCGTTCTCTGATTGGCAAATAAGTGGATGCGAAATTAAGGAGAATTACGATGCTAACTAATAATAAAAAATTTTAGGCGCAGAGATTTTTAATGTAACAACGGATTTATCCTGATCGGAATTCTATAATTTTGATTTTTACATAACTACCAAATAGTTTCATTGGCCAAAAATTGTTGCATCTTTCTATTAAAAAATTAAATATTAGGATTGGGAGGAAATGTTGGGACATTATAAAAAGGTCTAATATGCAACAGGAGGAAACGTTGATGTTACCTTCAACCGGTGTGCAACATATAAAAAAATTATTTTACAATACCAGATCATTTTGCCAGTACATATGTAATAATAATACTCCCGTGATCTTGAATAGTGATCGGGGGTATTATATTACTAATCCCACACCATTTCATTATTATAAAATAAATATTATTCTATATTTAGACTTTCTGGTTTTTATTTGCTGACACTCATATTTTGTTTTGGAACTACTGTTAGGTTTCTTGCTATATCACAAGCCGCTTTACATTCTATTAAGTTTACTAAATTACTAAAATTTAATAATAAAAACATGAAAATTTTTAAAATTTCAATTTTTTAAATAGCAATTTCTTTTATACAAGGGGTGTATGTGTTGTGCCTCAATTAATACTTGCGTCAGATGTTGACTTTTTGGCCCGCATTAACTGATCGACATTGATTGACCTAAATTAAGCCCAAATTAATTAATATCTCAAAATTTTGTCACTTTTTGGCTTCTAACAAAAAAATTCCTTGAGAAATTTTGGTATAAATTATGCCCCGCCCCCACTCCCAAACCCACACTTACTCTAACTATAATCAAGGATTTAATTTGCTTGATTGCTAATTCGTAATACAATAATTATTCACTTTTATAA